TGAGGCACCTAAGGAGCAACTTCAGAGCCCCAGAAAGAGGTGCTCACTCCCCTAAAGGCAGGCCAGAGCAGGGCTCCTTCAGGGCAGAGCTGGAGGGGAGGGAGCAGAAATCTGGGGGGAAACACACCTGGAAAAAGGATGCAGGCTAAGTGACCCCAGTAGAACTGGTTCTTATAAACCAGGGAGGAAAGGGCTATAGAAAGTCCTATGCCTCAAAAGCTGTTGGTCCCATGAAGACCCCAAATCCTATCACTGACCCCCAAAGAAGTGGCTGACAGCATGAGGAGTGAGAATTTGTGTTTTTCATGTATGCAAATACATCAGCCTGCAAAACATATGTTTGCATGTGTGAATGTTCACAAGTGACTGTGTCCAGGGTACCAGACTCAATGAGGCCCTATGGGAGAGGGGGGTTGGGCAGGGCAGGGAAAGGCAGTTCTAAAATACTTTGCATAGTTCTGGTCGCCAGATTTCAAGCCTAGGGCAGAGCCCTGGGAAGGGGCAGAGGCAGGGGGCTGGGAGATGTTGAGCTCTGGATCCCTCCCCAAATAAGGGAACTTAGGAGAACTGGGGGAAGGGGGGAGAACCAACTAGCCCCCATCTCCCCAACTAGGCCAGGTAGCTAACAGTTCCCACAAGTAAAGATCCTTGGGAGGCCAAGGGAAGGTTGGGAAGGTTTCCCAGTGACCAACAAAACCCCCCCTGCACACACCCACCCAACATATGCGTGTTCACATCCACACAAGACTTTCAAAAAAGCTGCCCAAGGGAGGGGAAAGGGGCAGGACAGTGGTTCCTGAGGCCACCCACTAGGGGAGAAGTGTCCTGAAGTGGCCCCCAGCTCAGTCCACCAGTTGTCCCACCAACTTCAACCCCCACCCCCTAAACACATGCATGCATACACATACAGGAAACAAGGCCCACCCACAGCCTCATGCCTCAGAATCTAAATGTGCTGATATAATTCTGGGACTATGATTCCCTCTCCTACTGGAAAGATAGATTCCAGACTCCATGAAACAGAGGCTATTCTCTGCCTAGGAGGAGAAAAGAAAGGCAGAGAGCATTGGTTAGACTAGGGGCCTGTGTAAGGGGACCATTGGAGCCCAGCTTCCTTGACAGGTCCCCAGAAAGACTGTTACAGGGAGACAGAACTGGATATTTCCTACTGACTAAGGTCCTCTTGCTGGCCTGACCTCCCTTCCTTTCCCCTCCCCTCCTTTTGGGTTGCTGGGCAGGCCTGGCCCTGCCTAGCTCAAGGCCAGTGTTGGTGAACGGGCGGGGGGGGGGGGGGATAAATATAGAGCCATCAGCCATCCAAATTCCTGTGAGGGCTGCAGCCAAGCAGGAGTACCCATTGCTCTCAGCTCTAGGGCTCAGAGCCTCAGTGGCCACGGCCACCACTGCCCTCTTTCCAAACAAACAGAAAAATAAATAAAAACCAGCTCTCTCATGGACAGCACAGCTGGGGGTGGGGGGGTAAGGAGGGAGGAGACAGGAAGAGGTGGACTCTGGGGAGGAGAAGCAGCTTGGACCAGTTGCCGAGGTTTCTGAGGTTTCTGTTCCGGCAGGGGAAGGAGATGGCAACAAAAGAGGGGGAAAGAGAGAGAGACAGAGAGACAGAGATAGAGAAAGGGCAGAGACAGAGACAAAGACACAGCAGAAGATATGGGGGGGGGCCCAGCGTGAGATGTAAGTAACAGAAACAGAGTAAAAAGGATAAAGATAGAGACAGGGTGGAAAAGAGACAAACACAGAGCAGATACAGTATGATAGAGAAACAAGGCCAGAGAGACACAACACAGAAAGCCTGGAGGGCCTCCTGGAAGAAGCTGCCCTCTTTGCCCTCTCATTCTGCTCAGGCCTTTCCCCAACAATTCTGCCTGGGGGAGTTGGGTATATATTTTGTCTGCCTGGAAGAGCCAGTATGGTTCCTGGGGTTAACAGGAGGTGGTCTCAAGGTGTCAAGGATGCTAAGTCTGCCAAGGAAGGGGAGGGACTAAGACCATCCATCTGTGGTAGGGAGGCAGCTGCAATGCAGGGGGAAGATGGGGGAGAGCAGGTTGGAAGAAAACTGGGCACCTCCCCCGATGAAGGTAAAACAGTTTCCTCTGGACAGAAGACTAAGCCCCTGACCCCTCCCTGCAAAGTGGTTTGACTAAGCTTGGATTTTGGCCATTTGCTCAGTTAAGGGTCCCATAAGCTGAATGAAGGCAGGAGACTTGGGCAAACAAGATGGCCTGTCTGTTCCTAAACCTAGGCCTAATCATTCTGTCTCCAAGTCTGTCCCTGAGATTACAGCACAACAGAGGCCAAAGGAGTAGAAAAGGACAGAGGAAAGGGAGGAACTGGTAGCCAGAGGGTTCCTCCAGCAGGTCTGTGAGCTGTGGGCATGCTCTCTGGCTTTAATATTATTTCTCTTTTCCCTCTTCTTGCAAAGGACAGGGACGAGGTGGTTACAGAGGTTGGGTGGGGGGAGCTCTGTGGGATTAGTAATGGGATGGAGAGACCTTTATAGCTCTGTGAGCTGATCTGTACGCAGCCCTGCATTTTCAAGCTGTCTCCAAAGCTGCCAGCAAACCTCGGGGAGGCCAGGCCGCCTGTCAGCCCAGCCACCGAGGAGCCTCCTGGGGAGGAGGAGGTGACCTCCAGCCCTTGCCTCCCCAAATCTCCTTACAGGCTCCCTGTCTGTCTCAGGGAATGGATTGAGGCAGCTGACCTCTCCTGGCTCAGTCTGGAGCCTGGAGAGGAGGGGGAGACACTCCAAGGAATCATGAGTTGGGGAAGAATGGGGCTCTTAGATCTTCACGAGCAGTGCCCCCACTATCTCATTACCACCATCCACAAACACTTACTGAGAAGTTCCTGTGTGCACAGCATGTGATACTCCCTACCCTCCAAGAGTTTACAGTCTAGTGGGAGAGACAGTACTTACCCAGGAAGTGTTAACAATAGCATGAGAGCTGTCTGAAGGCCACAGATGATGCTAAAAAGTCTAATGGATAGTATAGACAGTGAGGGCAGAAAAAAGAGTTCAGGAGTGAGTACCACTAAGCACCAGTCATACCCCAGATGCCAGCCACAGAGATCTAACCAACCCAGCCTGTGAATGGAAAAGATCAACCTTCAAGAGCTTCCCATTCCAAACTTCCAGGGTCAATACCAGCACCCCCATTCCCAAGATGGAGAAACTGAGGAATGGCAAGGCAGCACGGAATATACATATTCAAAAATCACACTATTTGGAATTAAAATTACCCCAAAAATGGTAACTGGTTCCATCCCAGTGGAAATATACAGCAAGAATCCAAATAATGTGATCATTTCAGGGGATTCATTTTTCCTATTAATCAGGATTCAGATGTAATAAAAAGATCATTGGCCTTGGTACTGGAGAGACTTTGGTTGTAATAGTCGCTGACACTAGCTGCATGACATAGGGGATATGATTTCAATTGCCTGGGCCTCAGTTTCCTCATTTGTAAAAGGAGAGGTATCACAAGGCTGTTGTGAGGAAAAAGCAAGTTATTATCGTTGCTAAAGGGCTAGCACCCAGCCAGGGCTCTATCTCCCTTGTCACCCGGCCACTTAGATATGAGCAAATGGAGACCAGGGTCTAAAGGGTTAATCCTCCCCAGAGATCTCTAAGCACTAGCAGGATCAGTATGACTGGGGAGGGCCTTGGTTCCAGAATGGAGGCCAGCATGGGAGGCAGGAAATGAAGAAGAATTTGAGATCTAATTGAGCTGGCTGGGGGATTAGGCAGCAGAATGCAATTATGGGCACTGGAGTTGAGCCAGAGGGGCAGGGTTAACACCCTGAGTACAACACAGCTAGGAGGGACCAGGTGACCAGAGCAGTGGGGGGCACTGATCAATGACTTCCACTCCTTGGGGAGGACCTGTGTCTAAGGTCATTTCCCACTCACCCCCACTCCAAAAAACAAGCTGGAGCTAAAGGGAGATGAGGGAGGTGGGATTCCTAGGCCTAAGTCGTCGTTGGGGAAGATGGGGAACCCAAGGAACCTATATGGACACTTACTGAAAAATTCCTACCCCCTTTTAGTAAAGGAAAATTATGGACAATCAATGTCACACACACACACACACACACACACACACACACACACACAGAGGAAGCTACACAAAGACAGGAGAGGCCCTCCTAGGGTAGGGTAAGGTACATCTTTACATATTTAACACTATACCCATCTCATGTATACGCACACATGCGTAATCAAAGGTATATACACTAGCTGACAGGTGCACCCACAGGCACACACACATATCTACAATACTCACAGGGAGATCCTTCTCAACCTGCAGAAACACACAACCATAGCCTTATGCTATTGTATGGCTTCTGGGGAGGAGGGAAAACCAAACCTAGGACCTTAAAATCCTTTTATTCCTGTAATCACAGGCTGCCATCTCAATGGATAAGCGCTGTCTCCCAGGGCCCCAGTCTGTCTTCCTCCAGCTTTCCAAATTCTGGGTATAGGAAAAGGTGTCAGCAACAGAGGACCAGCCCCATGAAGGGGGAGTGAAGAATGGTTAAGGGAAAAGGAACAAACAGGGATTGTGAGTCCCTGGGAGGGCAGAAGTCTAAGCCTGAGGGGTCTGGGCCAGGATCTCAGAGACGGTTGGGGAGGAATCGGGGTTCCCTTATGCAGAGACACAGGGATTCCCACAAACTTATAAGCATCCAAAGACATGCTGTGTGAACATACACCAGAGTTTGTACAGATTTCTATACACTTAGGGGTTAGCACAGACCCTATCTTGACACAGCTTCATGAATAAATGGAGAGGTACTTATTAGGTGCTTATTATGTACAAAGCACATTAATACAGGTATACATCTGGAGACATACAAACACACTAGGCTTGGATTTCTTATACTGCCAACCCCCCAACCACACACACACACACACACACAGTCTCACACTCACACCCTTCATCACAGGCACCTCTGTCAGCTGACAATGGATCTGAGTTTAGGCAAGTGGAGATACCGAGGAGGGAGAGGGATCCTGGTTTTTCTCCAGAGAACCAGGCTGGGGCCCTTTCCCAGTTACATACCGAGGTGGGGTTGGGTGGACCTGATTTGGGGGGGAGCCTAAAAAAAAGAGAAAGCAGGGGGAAAAAACTTGAGCGGGATATTCTTGCTGAGCAACAGAGCGTGAGTAACTGGCGGAGGCTTTTCGTGGTCTGGTGAGTCTAAGCTATGAGCCAAGTTTAACTATTAATACACTTAATCAAGGATGTCCCAGTACGTTCTCCATATACCCCACACCCCTCCCATACTGGGGATGGGTGAAGGGAGGTATATGGAGAACTCACTGGGACATCTCCAAACACTGATCTAGTGTGTGAAAGTGGAGGGGAACACCTGAAATGGGAAGGCCTCAAGTTCTGCCCCTGCCCTCCAGGAAATTGGGATAGGTCTATAAATATAGACTTAGGTGTGGGGAGGACCCCACTACCCAAACAGTTACTTTGGGATAATTCAAGCATTTATTCTGGGAGGCAGTATCTCAATTAGCTTATACCTCCAAACTGGGAAAGCAGCTTTGGGTGCCCACCCCTTCCAAAAAAAGAGACATCCTTAAAACAAAATTTCAACTACCCTAGAGTCTAAGCCCAATCTAATTACCCTCCATCAGTTTTTCCATGTGTCAAATGGGTAGAAGAAACCTATCATTCAAAATGTGAAGACTTAATGGGGAGGAGGTCCCAGAGCATCCCTGACACAAAGTACTGCTGGGGAGAGGATGGGAAAGAGAAATAGACTCCCAGCTCCCTTCCACCCACTGGGGCAGGACATCCCTGGCTTCACATGATAAAGACCTGCAGCCCATAAATCAACAAGCTTTGCCCACTGACTGTTAGAACCTCAACCCAATCACCTGCTGAGCTAAGGAAAAACAAGCCTACCCTAAATAAATAAATAGATAGATAAATAAATAAATACATAAATAAGATGCTGTGGTTAAACCTCTCCAGCACCAAAGGGAAGGGGATAAAGGAGGGAATAATACATTTGGGCCCCACAATGTGGGAAAAGCTCTGCTCATCAACCATCTAACTGAAAGGGGTCAGGTTTCAGAAAAGGCACAGTAGGACCCTCAATTAATCAATGCTCCCCCCCTCATTCTCCACAGATGGACTGCATCCAGCCCTCTCAAGCTCCAGGAAGATTTCTAGAGCACCTTCCAAACTACCCAAGGGGGTGGGGTGGGGGTGAAGGCAAGGGTGGGGAGGGGAGCTCCTAGAAAGGGAATACTCCCTCCCATCAATATTAACATTATTCTGCATACCCCTCCAAGCCCCCAATCCTCCAAGGAATCTTCCTGCTTCTCTTCCAGGGAAATCCAGGAGGCAGAGAATCTGTTCTATCAATACTGCTGCCCGCCCCACTTCATCCAAGAGCTGGGTGAGTCTCCTTTGCTTTCCACAATTCCTATAGAACTGAAGCTCCCTATTCCCACAGGTGTAGGGTATGGGTATATACTCCTCTCCCAAACTCTGGACGAGCTTTTGGGAGCTGCTCCCCCCACCCCCAGAGGTCACACTCAATAACCTGGGATGATGGGTACAGAACCTGTCTTCCTGGAATGTCACCTCCACCAGGCAGTGGGGGAGGAAACACTGAAGACTGTCTCTCCCCCCAGCCGCCCCACACCCTCCTCCCAGTCTGTCCGCTCCAGTGCCGGGCTTGGCAGCTGCGCGAAAATGCCTGAGTGTTCAGATGGCCCTCCCCAAGCAAGCCGGCACCCGAATGACTCCAGCGTGGCGCTCTCACATCCCCCGCCAGGCGGCCTCAGCGGAAAAGTTGAAAGAGATTCAGTGTTTTGTAGGCAAACCCCAGCGGGAGTTGGGGGAAAGAGGGAGGGCACCCCAGTGGGTCCACCCCCATTCGCAGGCACACTTCCTGGACAAACTTAGTCGGGGTGGGGGGTGAGGGAGGTCTGTAGCAACCTGAGGAAAGAGCCCCTTCTCCCCATTCTGGAGTAACCTGGGCAGTCAAAGGGCAGGAAGACAGAGGTCAAATCCCTCGTTCTCCCAGACGACAACCCCATAGTCCCACCAAGCACCCTTACACTTGGCTCGCAAACACCTCACTGTTCCGCAGGTGCGGGAGGCTTAGCCTAAAGGCTACTCAGGGTCCAGGGACAAAAGAGGGTGGGGTTATTACAGGACTTTCAACCCATCTGGCCCAAAGTCTCACTCTCCCTAGGGGCCTCGGTCATTAATTTTTACTCTGGTTGCAATGGTCACTAAAAGGCACCACCCCTACTCTTTCCTTTCCCCCTCAAAACCTGCGTGTTCCTCATATCCCCCCCCCATTCTTTTACTTCCTGGGAAATGAAAACCAAAATTATTTCTCACTTCCCTAGGGACCTCAATGGTTCTGACAGCTCCTAGGATTTTTTTCCCCCTCTCCCCACAGCTCCCCAATGCCCCCTCAAAAGGACAGCATTTGCCATAGTTCACAAAGCTAAGTCCACGATCGCACAGTGTTCCCTGTGCCCCTACTCAACAGAAAACCAGGGTGGGGTGTGAATGTATGTGTTTTTGGGAGGAGAGGGGCTGCGCTAAAGGACGACTTTCCGAGAAAAAAATTAAATTCCTCCTGGGGCGGGGTAATTTTACATAGACAATCCTAGTCCAAAGGGGTTAAAGGGGGGAGGTCTTCCACATGCCTAAGGGGGAGGGGGAGTGAGAAAGAGCTAAGGGGAACATAGTAAGAGCTTAATAAATGCTTGTTGACTTGACTCGCCTTGGGAGTCTGGAAGCCGACAGCTACCGGGAAGGTGGGGATGGTGGCGGACAGCACCACAGCCTCTGCCCCTTCACAAGAAGTCAAGTACCTACCCTGCTAAGGGGTCCCTGATCATCCGATAAGGCACCCCCTTCCCTCTTCCTCCCGCCAGGCGCGTCTTCCCTCATCCCCTCTCCTACCCTCCCCGTCCCTGCTAGTCTTCGCACAGCAGAGAACGGCACGGCCCGGCACGCCGCACAGCACAGCACAGCCCACGCTGGTCGCTAGAGACGGCCCTTTACACTGGAGAATCCCAAATACTGGGATAGACGAAGGGAGGAAGAAGGGGGGGGGGGGAAGACGAGCGGTGGAAGGGGGGAGAGACGGGCAAATACTTTGAAGGGGGAAAAATGCCAAACTTGGTCAGCCTGCCCAGCACCCCGTACCCCGGCGGGGGCGAGGACGCGGAATGAATAGATCTAAAAGTATTCCGATCCCTGCAGGACCCCGATTCCGGCCAAACATCGCCCCCCCAACTCCGGAGGTTGGGGGGGTAGGGCGGGAAGAGGGGCAGCCACGCGTGGCCAAGGGCGCCGGGCTCAGAGTTAGCACCCACACACACACCCTAACCTGGAGCCAAGAGTGGTAGGAAGGTGGGGGGGGAGGTGACGAAGAGAAGGGGACAAAACTAGAGAACGTGAAAGGTCAAGCCTTCTTCATCCCCATAGCCACCAAGGCCCCAGCCCTCCCTCCGCCCAGGGCATGGGCACAGGGCACCGGTACTGGCGCCAGCCCCGGGCTGAAAGGTCAGCATCGACCGGCAGGCTTGAGAAGGAGCACAGACTCCCTTCTTCCCGAGACTCAAAGATCCCGACCTGCCCGAGGTCAGGGACACCCTCCAGGCTGAGGACCCCAATCTCTCCCGGGAAACACCGCCTCCCACCCACCCCGCCCCCCGCCAGGGGAACCCCTTTCCCAACTCCTCGGAGCGCAAGGCTGACCCCAACTGGGAGAGGGGGGCAAAGCCGTACCCAGCCCCCACCCCAGTTCCGCGCCGCAGAGTGGTCACGCCCCCCCACCCCCGACCCTAAAACCCCGCTTTTTGTCTGGACTCAATGATCTGCGACCGAGCAGGCAGCAGCCCCGGAATCGCAGCGGAGTCCTAGCCGAGAAGATGGTCTCGGAGGCTGGGTACTTGGGCCCAGACTTCTCCCGCCCCTCCACGACCTCCTGAGTCCATGCTCCCCACACCCCGGAGGGTGGCGGCCCCCAGACCCCAGACCCCCGCCCGCGGCTCTCCGCACCTGAACTTCGGGGAAGCGAGAGCCTGCAAACTTTCCGCCGACTTCCACCCAACTCTGGCCCCCCCCCACCCCCGTCCGCTTAGCCTGCCCCAGGGGAGACGGGGGAGGGGCAGGGGGAGCCCAGCCCCGGGAGGGAGGGGAGGCTGAAGGGGCGGGGAGGTTGCGGGGGGGGGGGAGGACAACAACCCCGACACCTACCCGAGCTCTCCGGAGCCGCCGCTGCCGCCGCCAACCGCGAGGGGGGGGGAAGAGGTGGAGGGAGAGGAGGAGGACCAGGAGATGGGGGGGCGATGGGAAAAGCAGGGGGGAGCTGCAGCCGATCAGCCGCCGCCGCTCCGGGCAGCAGTAGCAGCAGCAGCAGCAGCAGCAACAGCAGCAGCAGCCACCTCCTCCGTGCGCACTGTCGCCGCCCGGCTTAGCCCAGGGAATCCAGAGCGGCAACAAGAAAGGCGGGGGGGAAAAAAGCACCTGCCCCCCTGTCCGCTTCCTCCCAGCCTTCCCTCTCCAAAAATTAAAAACAACAACAACAACAAAAAAAAGACAACTAATACTCAAATATTGAGAAAAGAGAGGAGGGGTGCGCGCGGCGCCCGCCGCCGGGTGGGGGCTTAGGAAGCAGGGCGCATGGCCCCGGAGGGGGCGATGCAGACTATGTACTGGTCCCGGAGCTCCGCCGGGGCGCTGAGGATGCAGTGGGGCTCGACTGCCCCAGCTCCCTCCCAGTGCCGCTGCTGCTGCCGCCGCCGCCGCTGCCGCCGCTGCCTCCGCCTCTACATCCCAGCTCCACCGCCGCGCGCTCGCTAGCTTGCTCGCCCGGGCTGGAGCTCCGAGCACTGAACGCTGCCCGGGGGCTGCAGGCAAAACCCGGACCGGACTCTTCCCACTCCCTTCCTCCCCCTCCCTCCTCTCTTCCCTTCCCTTCCCCTCCCCTTCCCTCCCCTCCCCTTCAACACTCTGGCCACTTGGACGCCGGGCCCCGTCGCCGCCTCCGCCACTGCCGCCGCCGCCGCTGCAGCCGCAGCAGCAGTTCTCATTTCTTTCTCTCTCTCTCTCTCTCTCTCTCTCTCTCTCTCTCTCTCTCTCACTCTCTCTCTCTCTCTCTGTCTTTCTCTTTCTCTCCCCCCCCTTTTGGGGTCTGAGTTCTCGCTTGCGTTTCTCACTAGTTCAGCTATTCCCTACAACTTTTGAGAAATATATATGTATATATGTGTGTGCGTGTGTGTATATGCACACACATATAATACTGATTTCTTCCTCGGGGCTTGAAGAAGTCAGTGCATTTCATAAAGATTTCCCTCTCCCTAACACCCCCCCCATCTACCATAATGCAAGTTTTCAGAAAGACTGGGCCGAGTCTCTCACTTAACGGAAAAGAATGAAGTCTGTATAAGATAACACTATATAACAGATCTAAGACTTCACAAACATAAGGAGTAATAATATCTGTGTGGTCTTTGCAAGTTGTAGTCTTCAGAACCTAAAGGTGACTAGATATATGAGTATAAAAATATTGGGGGTGGTTTCATATTCGACATAACCATAACAAGCCAAGCCAAGCATTTATAAAGGGCCTACTATATGCTAGGCACTGGGTATATACAAAGACAAAAAATGAGAGTCCCCAACCTGTTCCCAAGGAGCTTGTGTTCTTTCAACCTACAGTGAATGTCGGATATGGGGAGAACCTTCAAAATCACAACCCACATTTTAAGGAGAGCTTAGAGAGGGAAAGTGAGGGAGCTCTTAGACCTAAAACTCAGTTCTGGTTCACTAATGGGCACTGCTTGCTCACAAATTTCCAGGACTCAGGTTCCTGATTGTTTAGCAGGTTATTCATCTATCTAATCTTATCCTCCAGTGTTTAAGGCCAAATGCTCCTCCCGGTATCCTCCTTCTCCTCCAATAACCCCTCTTATTGCTAAACTGCAACTTAAATGATAATCCAAAGGGCATTATAGGAGAAAACATTCAAATTTTCTTTTTCCATGCTGGTGAGGGGATGGGGCACAGAAAATCTAAAATACCAGATAATCCAAAAATGGTCTCTGTGGGGTTATGTAAAGTTCTCAGTCAATTTCTGCTAACAACCTGTACACTTATTTACCTAGTAACACCTGAAGGGTAGTAATAAAATTTTTTTCTTTTTCCCTTCCAAGAGAAGAGAAGAGATGTGGTGAATGATTTTTTGCCCCAAAGTGAATATTTTCAGAAGATAATCCAGGCACAGATAATAGTTTATGTATCTATGTGGCCCATATGCATCCAGATGCATGAACCAAGGAGAGGGGAGATTGAAGTGGGTTTTATCTCTCCTTCAGCTTCAGTCTTTCTAACTGTCTCTCTTAGTCCCTGTGTTTGTCCATCTCTGTCTCTTAGGCTCTATCTCTTCCATTAGCCTTGTCTGTCTTTGTGACCCAGTCTCTGGGGTACTAGGGGCTATGGGGCAGAGCCAACTCAGAGAAATTCTTGGACCTCCCTGCTCCCTTTCCAACCCCTCCCCAGGTTCCCAACAGATATGTACTCCTGCTTTCTGGGTCTTGTCCCAGCCAAAGGGCACAGGGCTTCAGGAATGCACCAGGGGCCTTCTGCCAAGGATTGGGCTGGGGACACTGTGACTATTCACAAAAGGTTTGGTTTGGACCCATCTCTTCAGCCAGACTAACCAAATGGTCCCCTGGCTTTGCAACTGAACATCTCCAAGCAAATAATATGCTCAATGATGGAGAAACTGAGGCACAGAGAAATGCAATTCCATAGGTCTGAATGGAAAGCCCAGAAGTCTGAATTCCCAGACTCCAACAGACTCAACATCCATGATGATCACAAAAGCAGTAGCACCTGTCACCAAGGTGATAAGGACTAAAGCATACTAGAATCTCATATTCTTTCATTGTGGAGGGGTAGAAAGGTCTTCATCTATCATTGCCCTAAACTTTGTCTCTTTTTCCTACAGGGGGTAGGGGAAGAGAAGGGGAAGTGGAATTGGCCTACCTCGGTGAAACTATAAGCTTCTAATTACCCGCATCTTTTTGTAGTGCCAGTCCCTGTTTAAGGCTAATGAGCAAAAACCTTTCTAAGGATCTCTGGTCTGGTCACACTGGAGACCTCCCCTGTTGGCTTAAATTGCAACAGGAGGGATTTAGGTTAGACATAATAGAGGAATACTTCCCCACTGAGTATTGTTAGATAGGGGACTAGGTTTAGAGAGTGGGGAGGGGAGATTAAGGTGAAGTCTCCTTCCCCAGAGATCAAGAACAGAAAGGATGTCACCCCAGTCCCCACACAGAACCTTCCCTGACTGAATGCTGTGAAGTACTAGGTAGCTGGCCCAGGCTGGGGAGCTCTTTTCCTTGCTTCAGCTCTCTCAGTCTGAGAGACCCTAAAGGGACAGAAGCTAGAGGCTGATCCGGTTTGGGCAGAGGAAATGGGGCCAGAAAAAGTTCTACACATTTGAAACAAAAGCAAAATCATGAAAATAAAATTCAAACCCAGATCCAGAATAGGTGTTAGCAGTGACACTCCAGGTGGCCGGTGCAGAAATACTGTAGCATAAAAGAGGGAGAGACACAAGTTTCTTCAGCCAATTTGCAACTTTTGAGGCTCAGCCTCCATTTTAGGGGGAGG